CACCAATTTGGCATTCGATACCCTGCTGCCATTGGGTCTTTCGGTATGCCCAGCGGGGGTTCTCCCACTGTCTAGGGTGCCTCCAGGGACCGTACCCTGTTTTGACTCCCGCTGCCCCCTAAACGAAATCCCCAGACCCGTTTTGGTATCCGTAGGTACCTTGCCCAATCAATCTTTCCGTCGAGCTGCCTGCCCGGTCTTCAATTTGTCGACGACGGCCTTCATTACACACGCCGCATATTTTTGCTTCATATTCCGACTTTTCCATACGACATCAAGCTATCAAGGCGACGCAACGGCAATCGCTGCTTGGGTCTCCGTGTCTCGTGCATGACCGTGTCGTTGCCCATGTCATTCGTGTTCGAATACTTAGCTACCTTGCCTAGCCACGTATCGCCACGTTATAAATATTATACGAGCGTCATCAGACCCTTATTAAGTTGTGTACTTTGAGAAGTTGGGATACCTTACATACACAGAAAGCACTACTCACTATCAAACGACCACAAGATGAGGCAGATTGCTCATGACATTCGCCGTTGCCGCAGCTCAGCCTCCCTTGAGTTGCTGTCCTCGTCGGATTCCGGCAGCTGATTGATGTACGGTTGATCTATTCCACTTTCTTGTCTACATTGGGTATACGTCGACAGCCGCCGCCCCCGTCACATCAGATCTGGGATCCGCGTTGGACAAGACAAGACGAGACAATAAGGGTTCATAGGCACTTATCCAAGCAAGTCGTTGCTTTGCGTTGCGGCCGTGTGTCCCGACTCGTCGTCCGCGGCCGATGGTGACATTTGCCCCCCGTCCCCTCCGTTCGAGTCGCCAGGTTCCAGCATGTCAACCGAACCCGCCGCCGATCAGCCCCCCGGCGGCCGCCAATCATTCCAGAACAGAGTCCCCGCCGTGACCATTTCGCCGGCTTCGATTGGATCGCCATTCGAATTGACTCTGGCGGGCGTGCGGGACTAGTGAAACCTCCCCCCATCCATCACCGCTGTGGAACCGCATCTCGTTCATCAACTAGGCAGCCATATAAAAATCTTCCGAGAAGCACTCGTCGTCTCCTAATCAACAAGAGGCTCCTTTTTGTCTTGCTGTAATTCCCGCCTCCGCATGCCGAAGGCCCGAACTGGGGCGGATAAGGCAAGGCAGGTTTGATAACAGTAACGGGAAATGGCTCAACTGCAGCCAAGTTGTCCATCATCTGCCGAGGAGGGGGGCCTGTTATCATGAGGTGGGCATCTTCAAATCCTACGGTCTGAGTGTGCGATGACAGGACACAGATCCAGATCGAAACACGCTGCCTGATGCTGTGCCGGAATTCCATTCTCATACGGACAGTAGTAGACGTTACCTCATGGAACCTTCCAAGTCGGCTTCCACAGGGTGGACCGGTCAGCACCTAAAAAAAAAAAAAAAAAAAAAAAAAAAAAAAAGGCCAGCCATCACGCCGCACACGCACGCCTGCACAGCATCTGTAGCCCTGGACAGGAGATATTGATAGGAAATATTCCATAACCTGGCTATATCGTGGGTAGTGCCGTGCGGCAAGGTGCATGGAAATGAGAGCAGCTTCACCTGAGAGCCAATGACAGAAGCGAGCCTGGAAGGATTGCGGTTAAATGAGCTCAGCAGGTCTAATCAGTTTGATCTTTTGTTTGCTTGGTGCCTTGCATACCGTTCCTTACGTAGGCAACTTGGTAGGTCGATGCAAAATCCACATCGAGACACGCAGGTGAGCTGCTGCTGCTGCCAAGCTTACATAAGGCGAGAGGTCAAGCCACACACATGAAGACTTCGCCACGGACCATCCGCAGCTATTTTTGTCCCCTTCCTAATTCGGGTGCCCGGTTTGCAGTTGAAGCCCCACTTTTTCCGACGTTCCCATGGAAATCCGCCCCGATCACATACCGACAACATGGCGACTCTGAAACCATCTCGGCATCAAGCATCAAGGCAACTCCGCCTTGAAATACCGGAAGCCTGGAATCCTTTCCACCAAAGTGTCTATACAGTACTCTGGTCCACCGACCGCGGCCATCGTTGGCGCTTGTAAGTCTTCGCCGGACAGACGCCGCAAGCGCGGCTCAATGCTCACGTAGGATGAGCCCTACCGGCACCGCCTCTGTTCGCTTTCCTGCCTATTTCGAGGTCCACCTTCTTTCTCCTTTTGCAACTCGCAATCCTCCATCTCACCCAGGAACCGCAAGACGCCAATACTGACGGCCCAGAATCCGTTTGCCTGACAGAGGACCCGCCATGTTTGGCATTTTTGAGCGGTTGCCTTTCGCATTGGACGTCTTAGCTCACGATCCTAGTTCACGATCAGGATCTCATCGTCCGAGCTCTGACGCCGCAGCCATGTCGCTGGGTTCTTCCATTGACGTCGTGCTTGTTTTCGCGTTCCAACACTCCGGACCTGCAACAAGCGTCATTGTGCAGCCCTACCAACTCCCGGAAACTCGACGACATAAGCATTGGCGAAAGCTTTGATGGCCTGATTATGCCCCTTGCGCCAAACATGAACCACCCAGGCCGTGCATGCGCAGCCACATTACCGTGTTGGAACTTCGGCCACGGGGGGTCAGTATCTGGAAACTTCTTTGTTCAGGCTAATTCCATCTAGCAGGGTGCCGTCTACCCTCTATTCAATTCTAAAAATTACAACCCCCTACGCCGGACATGGGAGCAAACCCAGCCTCGACTCCAACAAGCACCCCAGGCCAAACACACCAACCGCCCAACAAACACACGACCCCCAAAGCCCATTCAGCGGCAACTCACACTGCGCCAGACCCCTTCCTCGTCTCTCCGCCGGCATCCGCCTCCCAGAAGCGATCTTTGCTGCGATCACGCCCCCGGAGCAGCCCTCCGAGGTCAAACGGATCAACAACCGTGAGCCAAAACGGCCGCGGGTCCTTCCACCCGGGCCCGTCAACCTCCGTAACCCCGTCCTTGGCTATGTACACCGTGTACTTTTCGGGCAGATACCTCCGCGGGTGCCGCACGTTGAACATGACCACATTCGCCAGCATCAGACTCGCCTCAAAGACGTAAAAGAACCACTCGTACCGGATCGCGGGCGAGATGTCCTCGACCTTCATGTCCGCGTCCCATTTCGTGTTCGCAACCCCAAAGTACTCCACAATCCTGTACACAGTCCTCGTCAAGATCAACAGGACGCTGATGTACAGCGTCGTCAACGGTCCAGTCAACCCCCTCGTCCTCGCGAGCCCCAGCTTCGCGCACCGCCGCTGGAACGCCACAGTCAGGGCCACGAAGCACGCAATGACGAAAATTTGCAGCAGCAGGGAGGTCTTTATGAGGGCGTGTCCCGCCTCCATCTCCTTGTCCGACAGGGACCGGTTCGCGGAGTAGCTCGCGCCCCATCCGTTCAGCGCCTCGATGATGCTGGAGAAGAAGGCAAAGGTGCTCAAGACCCTGCCCGGGTGAAGCGGGGAGCAGTAAGGGACGTAGTAGAGGACGCGGCCGAGGATGTGGTAGTTCGCGAGCTCGAGAAGGGGCCTTGAGCACACAAGTCAGTCAGGCAGTGTCTCTCATGGTAGGGGTGCCGCCTCTACTCACGGTGCCGCATAGATTACACACACGCTCGCGATGAACGGTTTCAAGTCGTCGTAGTGATATGATCCGTAGATCCGCATCGCAAAGCCCGCCGTGAAGAGTAGACAGCAAAAAGAAAAGAGAGCCGTGACCTTGAAGAACTTGTAATGACTGCGAGGGAACCCCGTCAGCTGCTAAAGAAACTCTGTAGTTAAGACTACCAGACATACTAGCTCTGCCAAAAGTGCATCATCCCCGACGCCAGAAAGGCGACTGCGAAAAAGACCGGCGCCCCCTTATTCGGAGCGTAGAAGTAGTAACTCCCATCGACTACAATCTGTCAGCCCGCCGGTCCTGCAGCTGTCGGCGCTAGACATACCATAATTCCCGTTCGTCATGGTTATTCGCAAGTCTGGCTCTTTTGAGCATTCAATCGTGAGAAAGGCAGAAACAAGTCGTCGCAACAACGAGATGTCGAAGCAACTCATCTCAAGCCCATGCCCAAATATATACATATACATGCATCCAAACAACACACCCTCCGAGAAGCCTCATCGTCAGTTCAGCCCCATCTGCCACTCCCACACAAACCCGAGGAATACGGTCTAAATCAGCCTTACACCCTTCCCGACCAATCGCATCGCTCCCTCAAATACGATTCACCAAGAGATGACCCGAACCCAAGACACATCCCTCAAGTATCCATTCCTCTCATTTGCTTTCCCTCAGAGAGCCAGCCATTGGTGCAGAGAGCGTGCATACCTCTGCCCTTTAACCAGTGAGGTCGTGGTCGACACAGTCGCCGGGGATAGCACGTGGCGCATCATCGTCGTATTTCGCATTGGTCTGAGAGAGAAAAGCCACACGCCCTGGGATTGAGAGCGTCTGGGAAGTGTACCCGACGAGCGCATTTGATAGAGCACCGTTTGCATGGGTTTGTTGCGTCTAATGTGTTGTCAAAAGCCACCGTCTTCGTTCAAGGACCATTCAAGATGAAGCTCTCCCGTCGGTACAGTCGAGCTGGATTTTGCTGATACAGCTTTTCGCTGAACGATTCGTCCAGACACGACCGAAGCCCACGCAAATGTAGAATGTAATCTCGATTGGTACCTGACGGAATCTCTGTCCCAACTAAATGCTTCATGACGCAAAAGCAGACGAAACAAGAACCCAATACCACCGTGTCCCAGGCGACTAGTATTTGTATATCAAAACAAACCGGCCCAATGGACCATGACATGCCGGCCGCAGCCTGGCACCAATCGGCGGATCCGACATATGAAGTCCCGAGTTCCCCCAGATATCCAAGGCCCGCCCGCGCGGAGCCTCATTACGCAAACGCCGCAGAAGGTTTCCATCCTAAATGCAGTCCCTAGTGATAAAACATACAGTGATCATACATGAACTCGTTAAAGACTTTTTGGCCTTTGTAGGCTTTAGTCAACTTCCCAACCGCGGCCCATTCCGTCCGCGTTGTCGTCCGCCATGCGGTCGTCGTAGTCGCTGTCGCCTACCACGCTATTCGCGCGCGATGACTCAACCTGACTGAGGTAGTAATCATCATCTTCTCCCCAGCTGCTGTACTCGTCGTCTGAGTAGTCCCATTGCACAGGAATGGTCTCGCCGCCCTCGCCGAAACCAAACATCATACCGCGCCATTCTCCAGCAGCGATCTTCGCAGCCACTTGGAGCATCAGAGTGATCAAATGGGCGGGTGGGCCCAGCAGAACTTCGCAGGTCTTGGAAACAATAGCCATGGGAATCCTGCGGACAATGTCGAGCCGGCTGCGGAGGAATGGCTGCCGTCTGGTGGCAGTAGTCGTAGACGCGAAAAGGTTGACCGCTGACGGCAAGGTGGCCAGGGCTGTGCGACCGACCGAGATGCTGCTAGTTGTTGCCCGGTGGCGCATGTATGGGCGGCGAGTAACGGCTGTTGTGACGGCTTCATCCTCAGAAAGAGCAACCTTGTCGGGTTGCCCTGCAACTTCGGATGGGATATCCGGTGCGGTTGCAGCGCTCTCTTGAGAGCTGTCATCCGTGAGGCAAGACGTCGCGTCCCAAGTCCGTCTAGTCTCGGGAGTGACAGTCATGTCAGAGATGTCGCGATAATGCCATGGCTTCTTGGGAATCAATATGTTGTCGTGCGGATACGGGAATCTCGTGGGCGAGACTTCCGATGCAGGTGACCGTGGGATCGGAGTCACGGGCGAGTGCCACGACTTCACACTATGAAACGAGTCGGATGAGTCTGTCGGTGACACCGGTTCCTTCGCATCGTCCTGCTCCTCCAGAATAGGGGTTTGTCTCATTGCTGACTTTGACGGCGGCGAGGTGACGAGAGTCAATTGGGGAGGGACAAGAGCGCGACCTTTTCTAAAGCTGCGCAACTTTTTCCGTCTGCCAACGCCAACACCGTTGCCTTCAAGAACCTCGCCATCGGTTCCAGAAGAAGACTCTCGGCCTGATCCAGATCCAGTGTCACTGGCATTGCCTGTGTCCTCCGCCTGAGGCTGTACCTCGACAACCTTGACCTCTTCAATAGGCGCTGTCGACGAAGGAGCTGCGGCCAACTTCTGCTCGTAATTACGAATCACATCGTAGATGTTCGTAGGCGTCGGTGTGCCGACTTCAAACGAAGATGGGGACCTTGGGGTCGCCCGAACGGTAACCAATTGCTCTTTAATCTGAGGTTCAGCGGTCGGGCTCGATGACGATCTCGAGTGTCCCGGAATCATTAATTTGCTAGCACGTTTCTCCGCGCCGTCCTTGTCGACAGGAGATATTGGCACCTCTTCCTCGGCCTCATGCGATGCTTCTTTGATCTTGTTTTGCATTTGAGGACTGCTAGTACCTTCCTTGAACAGTAAGGGGTCCAGGGCGGCAATGGCAATGGCGTTGGTGGGGCGAGTTGTCTCCATTTGCTCATCCAATACTTGCAGCTGGGCCGCCTTGTCCTTCTCGTTATCCAAGTTCAGGGATGCCTCGGCCTGGGAACCGCCTTCGGACCGCTTTTGGACTTGTAGTTCGACAAGTGCCATTCCTGTCTCCTTGGGCTCTGTCAATGAGCCTCCTGAGGCAGTGGCTTCGGGGCCTGATTCAACTCGGCTCTTCTCCGACTGAGGATTTGAGGCATCTTCCGCCTTGATCTTCTCAGCAAAGAACCGACGACTTTTCTCGGCATTTGTGATGGTTTCTGTGGCAGATGCACTGGTCTGAGTCTTTTCCTCCTCAATCGCAGATTCGCTCACGAGTCTCTGTTCTCGGGGCGGGTCACCAGACCGCGATGTCTCGGTGCTGGTTCCTCGCGATTCAGAACTTGACTGAAACTCGGTGCCAATAACAGAAAAACGGCGCAGTTCTGTTCGGCCTCTAACGCTGAGGGATGCCGAAGCCCTCCTCTGAGTCTTGGGTGTGAGAGCCTTGGGCTGCGTGGGCGATATCTCATGGGTTGGCAGGGAAAGGACAGGCAGAGCACCCTTGACAGGAGGCGTCCATGGACGCTTCTTCACTGGCGTCTTTGGCTTCTCGGGGAGCGCAACGATAAATGACCGCTTGAAGGGGCATTCTGTCTTTTCGAACTGCAATATCTGGGCAAGTACAACCTTGAAAGCCGCAGCTAGTTCTTGCTCGGTTGGATTGGTGACGGGGATCTCTATTCTCCAATAGTTGGGTCGACGTATTTGCAAGACAAACTTGCTCGAGTCTTCTTCCAATGCCCAGCATTGGCTCTTGGGAAGCATTGGCTGGAGGGCGGAGCCACAATTGAGAAAAGCCACGGAGCCAGTACGATATATGCGAAATGGACCTGGACGCACAAGTGTCAGCGGGTGATGTAAGTCTTGGAGAGATATCGGCCGGACTGACCGATTGCAATCGTCCTCTCTAACTGCGAATACGGCGACAGAGTGCCAGGTTCGTCTGCGGGGCCACGGCCGGGACTCCGAGCGCGGCCTCTGGAGGCAGCAGAGAACGCGACAATCTTGACATTTGGATGGTTGTATAATGTTTCGACGAGGCCACCAGCTGAAGCAGATCGAGGGGCGGGTACGGGCGAGGTCGTTATCGGGGCTGTCGCGACACGGCGAGGGGCCGGGTAGTTGTTGCGGAGGGACTCCATTGTGGTGTCCCTGGATAAGGGCAAGAAAGAGAGTGGACGGCGTCAATCGTAGCTGATGGCTCCGTCACGTAAGGGCAGGTTTGGTCAGCTGATGCGAGGGAACGAGGGCGACGAGTTGGCCTTGGGTCATGTCGATAGCAGGTTCGGGGACATGGCAGGCTCCCGGGGATCTCTTGATTTTTCCGTGCCGCTCTGTTTGTCGCAATCTCCGTTACGTTCGTCGCGGCGTCTGTCTTGCTTTCACGGGGAAGAGATGTGATGGCAAGGGGGGCAGAAAGAGGGAATTCGAGGAATCCGATCGGCGGGCGGGAGTTGCCTTAGGGAAGGAAGGTAGCGGCGCGGGCAGGCAAGATACGGCAAAAGAAGGTAGGTTAGGTAAGGTAGGTATGAAAGAGAGGGACAGAATTAGAATTAAGGGCCCCTTCCGAGCCGACAAGATCGATAGTTATGCGATGTCTTGCGCGGGTCTCACTCAGCAGCCGTCCAACCTCTGCTGCAGTGCTTCAGACGAAGAAGAAACCACTCTTGCAGCAAAACGCAACGAGACAACCCCACGAATCGAAGACGAGAGGACACTGAGAAGGAAAAAAGGTTTTTGGAATGGTGGATGGACTGAGGACGGTTGGGGAAACAAGCAAGGCTATGCCAGGGTGCAGCACAACCTGGAAAGAAGCTTGGACGGATTTGCTCATGGTTCGACCAGGGGGCGGTAGTGTCACGGCTTCCTGGGGACTCGTTCGACGCACCACGCGCCGCCGGGGGGGTTCTGACGCTGCCGGTTTCCTGCCAATGCCTACCACAGCGCGTCTCTGTTTGATCCCCTTGCTCTTATTTGCGACTGCTGCGCAAGACCCTTACGATCTGCGCTGCCATTGGGGCATGAACCGCAGAAACACTCGATTCCAGTCGTCCGGGACAGGACTCAAGACATACGATCTTTTGCCAGACGGGCCACGGGCGTGGCCATTCATTCACATGTTGTGTCTCTTGTTCCCGGTCGAGATTGAATGATCCCCTAGGATATGCCATGCCCCTTTCTAACTGCCACTCGTGCTTGGTACCTACCTTAAGGGGTATGATGCATACCGTCTCAGTTTAAGGTACCTCTTGTGCGCAACGGACGCAAGCCATTGCACTAATCAACCAACAGCGCGTCTCGTGATGGTGCCCGGCTCCTCTGCATCTCGTCAACCGTCAACGTACTACGTACCATTAAGATTGAGATTGCTACGGTGCGCGAGTAGTATCCGAGGCTATTGGGATCGCGGCGGGGACAATCGACGTATCCCAGCGCAAATACACCCTCAGCACGGCGGCTCTGATGGGGAATTATGGGGGATGCCGGGCGCAGAAATCCTCGTTAGGGGAATGACATGCATGGGGGGGTCCTCAACACATTGTCACTCACATTCACAACCCAAGTGAGGCCGAGTGACGGGAGAGTCAAATTCAAATGCTCAGCGCCCTCCGTCTGTGTTGTTGATGGTGCTCAACTGCAACCGAGGTTGATTATGTGACTGTGTCTCGACGTGCGCTCATCGCATTCTTCGACTGAGCTTCCATTTTGGTTCCACCGGGTCTCCCATGACAACTCCCGTCCCAAAAAGTCTGCATAGAGAACGCGGCCCAAGATCCGAGCAATGCGGCAGGGGTTGCAGCTGTAGTCGATGAACACGTTTCTGGGATGCAAGTTCGACGCGTGGGCAGTGCGTGCAGCTGCAGCTGTCGCCAAAGGTAGCCGCAGCATCCCGCCAACATGAACCGGTGCCGCAGCTCTAGCCTCTAGGTATCCGTACTTGCTTATGGATATCCGTACCTAGGTATTTGTAAGGTACTGAGCACCGACGCCCACACGCCAAAATCTGCATCCGTGACAGGTGCCAGAGGACAGAGGACTTGCAGCTGGCGGCCAGTGTCATTCAAGTCCCCGTTAAGATAACGTAAGCCTGTCAAATGCACGGACCACACCCGACCGCCCTGCGCAGGTGCCTCTCCCAGCCGTCAGCCGTTATTCCCGGCAGTGTCGTCATCATTGGATCTCGCCCGCCAAGTCAGCTCGAGCTCAGCTCGTTCTGGCCAGCAGCCCTGGTCCTGTCTGACGAGAGCTCGCGTGCCCCTCCAACCCTCGTCGTTGCGAATCCCCAAACACAGAATATTCTGCGTTGATCTGCACAACCAACCCAGCATCCGACGACACCATGGCCACCGAAAAGCGCGAAAAGCGCGATATCCTTCCTTTGGACAAGCTGCCACTGGATAAGCTCCCTCTGGACAAGGAGACCCTGAAGCAGGAATTCGACCTGTCCCACTTTGACCTCAACTCCGTCATCCGAGGTGCTCAATTGACCCTAGTCGGGGGTAAGTTGTCCAAGGCCGCCAGAAGCATCATGTTTTGCAACAGATTAGCTGACTGCGAGAAGCTCACCGAGCGTTCCAGAACCCGGCCCTCTTCACCTCCGATCACTACCGACAAGCCGGCGTTGCTGTCTTGACTGGCCTCGCCATCCGCCTGATCATCTCCGTGCCCGTAAGCCTCCGGTGGAGCCGTTCGAGCGAACCAACATTGTCTTGCAGTTGAAAGTTGACAAGCGCCTAGATCATTGGTGTCAAGGTTCTTCTTTGGTTCATTTCCCTGCTCTTTAGCTTGGATCATGTTACCTGGGACGAGAAGCTCGTGGGAGGCCTCAACTTCATTGAGGAGTACGTCCTCCAAGTGCCCTTCTTCCTGATGGCCTTGATGCGATACGTCACTCCTACTTTGGACAACATGTAAGTCCACGAGACCTGTGGTCGACCGGCATTTGCTGACTATTCAGGTTCATGGACTCCCTCAATTGGGTTGACAGGACCTACGTCCAAAAGCACAAGCACGATGACCCTAACCACCTTCGGGATATGTACTATCCCAACTTGAAGCAGTACAAAGTCAGCGACGGCAGCACTCACTCCACCAGCACGGCCGAGGCCGTCAGCATGTTTCTCTACCGCTTTGCCCGCAAAGGCGCCATCTCCCTCGCCATCTTCGCCCTCTCCTACGTCCCCGTCGTCGGCCGCTTCGTATTGCCCGCAGCCAGTTTCTACACCTTCAATAAGGCCGTTGGCTTAGGACCCGCTTCAGTCATCTTTGGAACGGGAATCTTCCTGCCAAAACGTTACCTCGTGATCTTTTTGCAGAGCTACTTCGCCTCCAGGAGTTTGATGAGAGAGTTGCTGGAGCCTTACTTTTCACGGGTACACTTCACCAAGGAGCAAAAGCGGAACTGGTTCCGCGACCGCGAGGGCGTTTTGTTCGGCTTCGCTATCGGCTTTTACACCATGATCAAGATCCCCCTTGTCGGTGTTCTGATTTACGGCATTGCGGAAGCTTCAACGGCATACCTGATCACCAAGATTACAGACCCTCCTCCGCCTCCTGCTGAGAAGGCTGCATTTGCCGAGAGCCAACAGCAATGGACCAACAAGCATGAGTTCCTCAGCTTATCGCTTGCCAACATGGATGCCATTCACAATAAGACATCGGGAGAGACGCAAAAATCACAGTAAAGGCTTCTGGAAAACGTCGAGTGCGCCCTATGGACATGTCAGGCGTCAAAGACAGTATTAGAGCCTTCTTATCCAATAGCAAACCCCTGTCATCACGTCTATCGTAGATTGCTTAGCGTGTAAGGTACTCAGGTATTGCTGCGCCCACAAGGCACAGAGAGCATCCACATCAGATGCCGAGATAACTACCAAAGCGACCCCCAAATCAATTACGTTTCAAGAAAGGGTCTCCATGCAGAATGAGATCACCATGGAAGTCTTATCGATTGGCGTGCCAGTTGCGCTTCCAGTCGGCCGGCGGCATAACCCAGACGTTTTAATGCGGGGTTTGCCAGATAGAAGCCTGATACGGCAATTGGAGGGGAACTCTCTTATCAGACGCAAGCTCCGCACTGCTCCCGGCCCCAACACCGTAACAGTCGCCTAAGAACTAATCGTTTCTTCGTTTGCATTCTCCAACTGATAGCCAGCCGTGGCAGATGAGGCGTTGTTTGGTGCATGGAATAGCCCGTTCCGAGGAATGAAAGGCGGGGTAGTTTGGAGGCGTTGGCTTGGGCTGGATGTTCTATATCTACAGAGGCCGGCCTGTTTGGGGTTGGCTACAGATCCGATGGACACCATCGCCCTCAAGTGCAATACACGCGTGTTTCTTTCTTGAAAGCAATCAGTTTCCGCACAGTTGACTGTCAAATCATAATTCGTCATGGGAAAGACTGGTATTCGAACCGCTAACAAGGTCAGCTTTGACAAGCCGGCCTCTGAACAACCTGGACTTCATGTGAGTTGATTTCATCGGTGCGCTTGAGACGCTGCTCACACTCATTCATGCAGAATAGATGGCACCCTGATAGTAAGTGATCAATATTCAAACTAAGTGTGCCCTACTCTGGCATATCACCAGACACGACACATGAACGGTTGTGCATGCAGTGCCGTCGACGATCATTTTCATCTTCGTTTCTGTGCTCATTTCTCCACCCCTTCACCTCTGATGTAGTAGTAAGAGCCAGGTCACTCTCTCTGACACTCTGCAGTTCCCTTCTCCGGAACAATCAAGGATGGCGAGACGGTCAAGATTGAATGCGTAGACTGGTAAATCCTCCCATTCTCTCAACGGTATTATCACAGCTCAACTTCATCTCAGGACCGGCGGCCAGATTGGTAACAACGACTCCGCAGACGACATGCTCAATGTGGATCTCACCAAGATCCACTACCTCTCGGGTCCCTTCGAAGTCGAAGGCGCCCAGCCCGGCGATCTGCTCCTCGTCGAAATCATGGACGTCCAGCCCTTCGAGGACCAGCCGTGGGGCTTCACGGGCGTCTTTGACAAGAACAATGGCGGCGGATTCCTTGACGAGATCTACCCGACCGCGTATGTTGTTTTTCTCATGATTATCCTCGTCTTGCAGGAGCCAGCAGGTTGAAAGACTGACATGGATGAGGGAATAGCGCAAAGGCGATCTGGGACTTTGAGGGAATCTACTGCACATCGAGACACATCCCCGGCGTCAAGTTCGCGGGCCTGATCCATCCCGGCATCCTGGGCTGCGCGCCCTCCGCCGAGGTCCTCGACACCTGGAACACCCGCGAGGGCGAGCTCATCAGCGCCAACAAGCTGGAGCGGGACGTCGCGAAGCCCCCCGAGCCGATCAACGTCCACGCCGGCGCCGCCGACGCTGCGCTCAAGGAGAAGGTGGGGAAGGAGGGCGCGAGAACAATCCCCGGACGACCGGAGCACGGGGGCAACTGCGAGTGAGTTTGCAGTCTCGGCGAGTCTTTGCTGGATGGCAGGATGCTGACGGGGTCACAGCATCAAGAACCTGAGCAGGGGAAGCAAAGTCTACCTCCCGGTCCACGTTCCCGGTGCCAAGTTCAGCGTCGGCGATCTGCACTTCTCTCGTAGGTTTCCCCCTCGAAGTAGTGTACCGATAAAGAACAAGTACTAACACGCGAACCAGAGGGCGACGGAGAAATATCATTCTGCGGCGCCATCGAGATGGCCGGCGTCATCACCATCAACTTCAAAGTGATTAAGAACGGCGTCGCGGACCTCGGCCTCAAGTCGCCCATCTACATCCCCGGCCCCGTCGAGCCTCAGTTCGGCCCCGGACGACAGATTTACTTTGAAGGTTTCTCCGTCGACGAGCACGGCAAGCAGCATTACATGGATGTGACGGTTGCATATCGGCAGACCTGTCTTCGTAAGTTCTCTCCCCCCCACGCCACTTTCCCCTTGAGCAACACAAGAGATAAGGGTCGGAGTCGACCTCACCGGATGAGCTGTCCAGCGGAAAAAAAGATGATATGCAGCGATGCTAACATTGGCAAGGCGTCATCGAGTACCTCCGCCGCTTCGGATACAGCGATTACCAGGCCTACCTACTGATGTCCTGCGCTCCAATTCAGGGCCACGTGGCCGGCATCGTCGATATCCCTAACGCATGCACGACTATCGGTCTGCCAATGGACATTTTCGATTTCGACATCTCTCCGGCTGCCGGCAAGGTTGAGAAGCGCGCCTTGGGCAGCTGTGCTTTTGCTACCGGGGTGACGGAGGGCAAGATCACGAAGGGTGGAGAGAACAGTGAGCACAGCTACGGTGGCGGACTGACTTACAAGAAGTCTGTGGTGGAAGGTGTGAAGGACAAGGTAATGGGCGGCGTGTGAGAGACGGGCTGTTGTCTAGCTGTTTCTGTTAGTGTCTCGTGGAGTTGAGATTTGGAGCGGGAGAAAAGCCGCGACTGAGTCCCGGAGGCTATGTGCACAAGACTTCATCATGTTCATCTCTCGTTTGTCTAGGAATAAGGTAGTAATTTGTTCACAGTCCTTCTGGCAACCACAACTTGAATACGCCCGTTTGCCCTGCATCCTCAGCCTCTTCTTCATCGTTCAACAACTCCTAGCGCGCTTTAACGATCATTGCGATTACGAATCAATGCATATAACGCCACATCCTCCTCAAAAATCAGGGATCTCGCTCATCGAGGTGTGACCTGTCTCGCTCGTGTGGGTGCGAGCCTCGGCCGTGCTAGTACCAAGCCACTCGCAACCAGGAGCGTTACACTTCCGCAAGGCGCTATCTCCCATGGCAGCAACGGCACTTGCACCACCTACGCCGCTGTGAGACACATCCTTGATCTCGTCGAAACCCATGTGGCCCGTTTGCGAGGCATGTTTGTTGGCCTCCTTCTCACCATTACCGATCCAGTCGCAACCAGCAACGGTACAGCGGAGCAGAAACTCGACAGTGTCGGTGAAGTAGTGCATCTCATGCAGCTTGCGGATCAGTTCCCTAGTCTTGTCAAGAACGGCCTCGTCAGAAGTGCTCCAGTTGGTGCGATCCAACTCGGGAGGGAGATCGGAATGGGTGTAGGGAGGCTCCGAAGGGCTGCAGGCAACTCGGTCATAGTGGATACCCGAGTACACGAGAATGCATCGCGACTCCTTGTTCTCGCCGAACTTTAGCGGGTTCTGGCTCTTGACGTCGAAGGCCAGAACCTCGAGGTCAAAGAGGTCAGAGAAAATTCCGAGCTCGATCGCGCCGCCCCAGCGGTCTGGGTCTTGCATGGTCCGACAGTACTTGTCCGGGGCCATGCCAAGGACAGCTTCAGAGTATTCATCAGGATGCTGGCGAATGTAGTCGGCGACCATCTTGCGAAGTTCCTTGGCCTCCATCTGCTTGCCCGGAATGGCGCCGCCAAAAGCTGTGAAGAGGCAGCTATTGTCGTCGGGCATGACACGTAGTACTGCGCAGTGTAAGCTTTCTGCGCCAGGCGGGTAGTTATGGCTACTTACGCAGGGTTGACTCGCGTTCAGGCCAAGGTATGCTGATGTCAGAGGGGGTTGGATCACCCGAAGAGTCCAGGCGAGGCTTCTTGGACGAGGGCGCGCTTCCTTCGGAGGGTTTCGTCACGGGCGGTGGGGGCGTAATGACTCTTGGCTGAGCCGGCTCAATGGTGAAGGACTGGCCATTGAGGCCGAGGTCCTTTGCGTTGGCATCTTTTTGCGCGAGAGTGAGTGTCTGGAGAGGATAGCCATACTTTAGGGCGAAATCGGCGATGCCAGTCGACTTCTTGATCTCGTCGAAGAGCTGACCCACGGTAGCGTCATCTCCGAGGGATACTACACCAGAACCCTCCGGGCCCCTGTACCTGGCTCTCATGGCGTCCGGAATTGGCGATTCGGGAATGTTGTGTTAGAGCAAAGGCCCAGGTATGGTGGAGGAGGATTAAAGATGCCTCGTGTTCCGTCTTGGGGTGGGGTGAAAGAAGGTTATCAAAGCGGCCGGAGACGGATCCGGAGGGTAGCCGGAGGGCAGCCGAGCGGTCCTGGCTGGAACGGCGGGGTCGCGGAGGGATTAATCTTATCTCGAGCAGATACCGGGGTTTCAACGATGGCGGGGATGGATGGGGCCGGTCGTAGCCCAGGATTGAAATGATGGGAGTCAATGTCTCAGCAACCTTGCTTCGAGTTGATGTATTGAAGCCAGGTTGATCGGACAGGTAGTGTCTTATTTTGGTGGCCCACGTTGCGGGACGAGTGAGCTGCAGTCGCAGGTGATGAAGGCTCTGTTGAGTGAGCAGTGTTGCGAGTGTCTTGGAGACGCGAGACGAACTAGAAGCTTCTCCGCTTATTAAGTACTTCTGGAAGACGTCGTCGGGGTCAAAGATGAAGCTAGGACGATGGAGCGAAGACAGGTCAGGTCTGAGCGTCGAGGGCGGCGACTGCTTTGGGATGCTTCTGTGTTCGGGGTCAGACATGTGTAACATGAAATGCGAGCCATAAGAAGACCAAGAAACATTGGGATCGGGGTCGCGTTGTCCTCATCCCACTCTGGGTGTCGCCGTGGTGTGGAGAAGTACTCCAATCAGATGTGTTTGGCCATCTCACTGGACACAGTCCGGAGATCCAGTGACAATGACTTCATTGTGTCCATCTCGCCGGCAGCCCACTTTTCGATTTCACCAGGAACTTGCGTGACGCTTGCGGATGCTTTCCACTGGGCCCAAGTCACTTGGGTCTCATAGTTGATAGCGAAGCCGTTGGATCGAGAGCCTTTGTAGGACGGGAGTCTCAACTTATTATACCTGCTTAGGCAGGCTGCGGGTAGGTTCGAGGATTGGCCTTTGGTGCAGCCTCTATTGGCTGCCAAGAACAAGGGAGGAAACAGGCGTGACGTCGACAAAAGCTAATGGAGAATTCGAACGACAACAGGCATATCGATATCGATATTGATATTGCAACTTTCCAACCAGCAACACGGAATAGAATGGCACCTTCCTCTCAGTACCTTCCCTACCTAGTGGTCTAGACCGTTCAGCCGTTTCCGTTAGCCGAGGTGGAGCCGGCACACAGTCGACCCTGGGCAGGGAGGCTTCCCTGCTAACACCCACGACCGATGGTGCTTTGTTGCACTCCACTGGGCCGTTACCATCCCGGCCATGTCTAAGGTACCTACCTGCCTAGCGACTAATAGCACCTGGCCGGCCACAGCACCAGCTCAGCTCCCGCTTCGCGAACCTTCAATTCTTCCCTCTCGACGGTCTTTTCTGGAAATTCTGACCTTTGCGACAGAGCCTCTCCTCCCCCTCTCCCACTCAGGCTCGCCCGTGCAGAGGGTTCAATTACTCCACTGACCCTTTGCGCCGCCAATTACACTCTCAGAGACGACCTCCAGTTCCCGTGCCTGCGCTTCGAGTCGGCGGTGCAGATGATGTCTTCGACGCGCAGCGACGCGCCCGAAGTGCGCGAGTCCATCGAGGCCAAGGTTACCAACGATGTTGAGATGACCGACGCACCCGCCGCCGCCGCCACCTCGGCCGACACCCCTCCCATGCCCGTCGATTCCACTGCTGTTCCCGCGAAACCGGACGCTTCCGACAAAATGGATGTCGACGCCGACGCCGACGCCGACGCCGACGCCGACGCCGACGCCGATGCCGATGCAGATGCCGACGTGGATGCTGATGCCGACGGTGAAGCGGACGCTGATGCCGATGCACCTGGAGAAGTCGACGTCGACGTCGATGCAGACGCAGACGCTGATGCCGATGCAGATGGAGACGCCGATGCCGATGCCGACGCTGACGGAGACCCTGACAACGGTGCTGCTTCTCCAGCAGAGTCTGAGCCTGGCGATCTCTTGGACATCATCCAAACCCTCAACACATATCTCAGCAACTATAAGGACGATGAGTATGTGTCGCACCGAATCGTGCCAATTGCGCTTCTTGCTGACATATGGTTCGTAGTGGAGAGTGGTGGGCCGCCAGCTTCCAGCGTATTCCGAATAAACGCCAGCTCCCTGACTATTTCGAAATCATCGAGAACCCCATAGCCTTCAGCACCATCCGCGTAAGTCTTGCCTAACAACAAATTGTACAATCATTTAAGTTGAGAAACTAACCTGTAAAAGCACAAAATAAGTAAAAAGCAGTACAATTACTTCTCCGAGTTCGTTCGTGACGTTGCCCAGATCTGTCACAATGCTCAAGTGTACAATCGACCTTCGTCTGCCATCTTCAAGGGCGCTACTGTAATCAGGGATCTTCTTAAGCAAGAGCTGCAGAGGCTCGTGAACAAGGGTACCATACAGCCAGCGGAAGCCGAGCTGCCGGATCTGGGAGAGCTACCGCCTGCCGAAGAATCCTCCCCAGAGGCTGAGTCCGAAGAAGAGGAAGAAGAGGAGGAGGAGGAAGAGGAGGAAGACGAAGATGAAGACGACGACTCTGACGATGATGGGAGAGGGCGTCGCAATAGGAAACGGGGGAGAGCATCATTCGGCAGACGCCAGACTGGCGAGGCCAGAGAGGAGGACGAGCATAAGAAACGCGGCCGCCCTCCCAAGGTTCTCACGCCCCTCGAGGCTCGTATACACAACGTCATCAAGGGCCTTCGCAAAGTCAAGCCAAACGACGGTGACCTGCTCATCGGTCCCTTTGAGAAGCTGCCCGACAAGACCATGAACCCAGACTACTACCAGGTTATCAAGGACCCCATTGCGCTGGATAACATAAAACGCAAGGCCAAGAGGAAGAAGTACCCGACCGTTGACAGTGTCCTCAAGGACATTGACCTCATGTTCAACAACGCCAAACACTACAACGAGGAAGGAAGTGAAATTTTCGAGGCTGCCGTAGAGCTGCAGAAGCAGGCCCACGGACTGGTAGCGCAGGAGAAGGCCAGACCCGATGATGAGTTCCGAGACGAGGACGGCAAACTGCCGTTGGCTGAGATTCAATACAACGGCCAATCGTGGAAAGTTGGTAAGTTGCGTCCAGTAACCCCCGGTAGCATGGTAAGTGGCCCTGATTAACAATTGTTCTAGGTGACTGGGTACACATTCGCAACGTCAACGACATGGCCAAGCCCATTGTCGCCCAGATTTTCCGCACCTGGCAAGATCGTGCCGGCCAGCGGTGGATCAATGCTTGCTGGTACTACCGTCCCGAACAGACGGTCCACCGATACGAGAAGCACTTCTTCGAGAACGAAGTGGCCAAGACGGGCCAGTATCGTGACCACCAGATCGAAGAGGTTCTCGACCGATGCTTCGTCATGTTTGTGACGCGCTTCAACAAGGGGCGGCCTCGCGGTCTGCCACATGACAAGGAGGTGTATGTGTGTGAGTCTCGCTACAACGAACAGACGTGCCGCTTCAACAAGATCAAGACGTGGGCCAGCTGCGTGCCGGACGAGGTGCGGGAAAAGGATTACGAGATGGATTTGTTTGACCAGCCACGGCGGCTCAAGAAGGTGCCCAGCCCGATCAAGCACCTGCTGCAAGCCGACGCGAAAGAGACGGACGAGCTGCCGAAGCCGACATGGGGAGCTCCAAACGCACCGCCTATCATCGGCGCCGTGCACCGTCGACCACGGGAATCGAACGTAAGTCGTGATGTGTTTGCTGTTTCTTTGCTATTTCTGTCCACGGTCCATCCACACTCTGCAGGCCTGGTCTGGCTGGGACTGCTTGGCCTTCGGCCATTCTCACTCCCAGCCGCGCCGCCTTACCTGACCCTAGTACCGCCCAAGTGAATCTTGTTGCATGAGCTGTAACCCGTGCCCCAACACCTCTTCTCGCTTTTTCTCTCTCACACACACAACTTCTGCGTCGCCTTATCCAGTACAAGCCGATAAAAAGAGCGGCGCAGAGGCGATGGTTCAGCAGCGGCAGTACCCTGCATCCCGTCTCCAAGCCGCGGCTTCCTGCCCCCGTCACTCGTTTGCTCACCCTAACTCGCCCTTCACACTCACCTTTCCACCTCTTTTTCTCTTCATTTCCCCCCCTCGCCCTTCCTCTCCGCAGACGTTGCATATCTGCCTTGCTGTGGTGGTTTTTTTTACCAAGACCAAGCTGGGTACTAACAAACATTCCTCGGGATGTAGGAGTCCCCTCCACCTCAACCAACACCATCGCCGCCTCCCCTGAGTCAGGAGGCTGCTCGACGCCCATCGGTGCTCCAGGCAATGCGACAAACGCCCAGCGACATGTCGATGAACAACCCGCCAACGCCGTACGGACACGGAATGGGCGCGGCGCCGTCGCCGTCACCGGCCATGTACGGGCAGCAATACACGCCTCAACACGCGTCGGCTTCGCCTGTCGCGGTGCCTCATCAGACACCAGTGCCGCTGCCACAGATTCCTCCTCACCAGGCGTCTCACTCTCCGCAACAGCCCATCCGTCCCATGTACCAGCAGCAGGGATACGTGCCAAGCCCCTTCCAGCATCAGCAACAGCACCCACAGCATCCACAGCACCATCCCCACCAGTTTCAGCAACAGCAGCAGCAGCAGCAACAGCACCTTCCACCACAGCAGCACCACCAGCCGCCGCCGCCGCACTACCCGCAGGCCCAAGCGCCCCCCGTGGCACAGCACGGACACGGACACCACCAGATGCATCCACAAATGATGACAGCAAACTCTTTGGGCCCAACGACGTTCAATCACCACCAGATGCAGCCTCACCCAACTGCAGCCCGCACCCCCATGGCGTCTGCACCCAATGCCATGCCGCCAAACAACGCCTACAACCCCCCGCGCCCTCCCGAGGTTTTTGTCCTGCCCGACCACATCAACGACCAAATTCCCGAGGAGGTGCGCAGCCAGTACAACAGGGACGAGAACGGCAGACTCATTTTCTTCACCACACCGCCCGCCGCGCGCCCCGAACATGGCCTCGCGCCGGACTACGCAAACACGGGCCATAGCCTCGCCTACCTTGCCAAGAGCAACCCGGAATGGCTGTCGGAGCGTGCGAGCAAGGCAAAGGCCTTCTCCGTTGTCAAGCAGAAGGAGCTGAAGACCAAGATGGTCATTGACGAGATCACCAAGGGCAAGACGCAGGAGGAGCTGCGTGACTGGGCGAGCGACGCATGGGCTCTGTATTGGAAGAGCCATGCCCAGGAGACGATGCGCATGCGCGAGGATGGCGACCTGGATGGACACGACCAGATGGTGAGGGAGCAGCGTGCAGTCAAGGTCAAGTCCAGAAGGGAGCGTGAGGAGGAGGCCGATAGGGCCGAAGAGGCCAAGAAGGCCAGCTATCTCGAGGGCATCTACTCGGCCCACACCAGCATGCGTTCCTCCAAGCCACGTGGTGTCTGAACGGACAGGTCACCAAGACGTCGCTCTAATGGAGGCTACGTGTCCGCGCTGCAGGAGGCGGTGGACCAAGATGCGTAGAGCTTTAGCTTTCTCTGCGTCGACAGATGGGAGGAGTTTTTGGTGGGTGATTCAGCTTGTTGTGATACCTTTTGGTTTGGAGTTTTACGGAAACCATTACGGCTCGGTGTGTCGACATGGAACCGATGGGGTCCCTATGGTTATTGTACATCATAATGCTAAGAATTGAAGACGCAAAAGAACATTCCTTCCAGTCACGACAGCGTCAAGGTTTTGTGCCATGAAAAGCTTGTCAAGTGCCCAAACAAATACCACACACACACACCCCTCTTTGATGATGATTATTGATGAAGGTCGAGTTCGTCCCCAGTACCCCTGTTCCTGTCTGCTGTTTCGATGCTCAAGTCGAAGGGCAGACGGAAACTTTCTAGACATGCAACATTGTCATTAGGTGGGTAGCTCGGTAGAGACAAAGATAAGATTTAGTGGCGACCAACTGGCCCGGGGAGAATGAGAGCTGTCCAGTGCCTGCTTCCAGGATCGAGGTCGTGGTGTCGGGTCATGAACCTCGCCCCACAAATCCGGGTCCTAAGTTCGCTGTCGACGGGACGCCCAGGCACTAAGAATCGCTGCGAGGCCCTGCCGGGGGCGCCGCCCGACCACGCACAAAGCGCAGGTGCCAGCCCAAAGAGGGTCTAGTGCAGATCTGATTCGCCCACTCGAGACGCTCCAGCCACTGAGTGCGGTGCAGGGTGACTCTGACAGCGAGACGTGGATGCGCTGGACCTTTTTCTCCCACCTTTTTCTCCCAAACACCCTCAGGCCGAATGTGGGAACCGCTGGGGGGCAACTTCCTGCGGCGCACTCACGGGACGCTAAGTGAGCCTCAAGCGCGGCTAAACCACCATTTGCCCACGTTCTCGACTTGCCTTCTTCACCTTCTTCTTTCACCTCTCTTTTTCGCCTCCCGCACTCGTCTTCAAAAACCACCCGCAATCACCTCCGAAAACATCATCCCTTTCTAGAGGAACCCGACCTCTGTCCCGAAACACCAAATCCATCTTATTTTGGCGTGGTCGCGTTTTCGTTTCCTTGCTTTCCGTTGACTTACCCCCCCACCTTGCGTTCTTTCTATAGTTCAGGCAACGAGGCAAGACCAAGCAGGGTTGGCATCTCTCAGATTCCATCCAAGTTGTCTTCACTTTTTCTCGCATACGTTTCGCAGACTACCAATACGAGCAACCTTCTCCTGCCAGAGACTATCTACATACAATTCATCGTCTAGCACAACTCACCCGGGTCTCTCGCCACTCAACCGTCTTTCTCCGAAGAAAATTGACGAACTTTGCTTTCCCGACACCACAGCGGTTCATGCTTATCAAAGCCTGCATTCGAGAACCTCGTACAAGGCACGATGGCGTCCACAAGCTCTCGCAGAAAGCCTCGACAGAGACGGCCACCTGCTAATACTGATATCACGAATTTGAGTTCCCAGTGCCTCACTACTACTACCATTTCAGAGAAACCCTGTCTTGGCGATTTTTCAAAGATATTTTCTCTTTTAAATCACCATCAGAACCCCGCCTCTCCTACGGATAACGATAACTCTTGTGCTCAGCAACCTGCGCCCAGTCAAAGCATCTCTCCAAGCTCACGCCTCCTGTACATCCCAGACTCCATTGTCAGAGACATCATGGGTGGGAAAATTCCCAAGCTTGAGAGCAAGGCTAGCGGCCAGAACGCTACTAATGCCACTTCTCCCCTACTATCCCCCCCAATGTCTGCAACTTCAAGCGACTCGGACTCGATCTCGTCTCGCGGGGATTTCGATCCGGTCGACATGGAGCTGGATCTGAATGGGGGTGCTGGTCTGTCAGACGTCACCACGCCGCCCGCCACACCTCCTCCCAAGGCCACCTCTGTGTCTGCTGGAGATCTTCTCTTCGAAAGGCACACTGCACACAGGCTTCCCGTCTCTTTCGAGGAGTCTTTTTCGAACCGCCTTGCGCACCAGTTTGTGGCGCACGATCAACAATTCCAACAAATGTGTGCCAAGCTCGACGGCAAAGTGTCTCACGATAGAGTGTACATCTTTGTCGACGGCTCCAACATCAGCACCAGCTTCTACCAGGACCTCAAGAAGAAGTTTGGAATGCGCCACAATGAGCCGCTCCCCGGTTGCCTTGACATCGTCAAACTGCATGAGATATTGCAGCGAGACAGACATGTCATGGCCTCCCACATCGTTGGCTCCAAGGCTCCCGGCAAGACTGAGGCTCAGTACTTCTTTGATGCCGAGGAGATTGGCTACCAGAAGACCATTCTTCCTCGAATTCCCAAAGATGGCAAGAAGCCGTTCTCGAACACGTCTGATTCTGACGACATATATTCGAGACGCCGTGAGCCCATGCAGGAGCATCAGGTTGATGAAAACCTTCAGCACTTGATGATCAACTGCGCCGTCGACAACATCAACAACAAAGGTGTCATCATCCTCGTCACTGGGGACGGCAACTCGAACGAGTCCGGTACCTCTGACGGCTTCCCCGCTCACGTTGTACGTTGCCTATCGTTGGGTTGGGCTGTTGAAGTGTACTCTTTCAAGTCGGCGTGCTCCGAGGTCTGGACCCAGCCGGAGCTTCTCAACAACAAAGGGTGGGCTGGCCGTGTCTCTGTCCACTATCTGGACAGCTATTTGCACGACTTGTGCAAGCCTTCTTTCGAGAAGCAGCTGTCGGAGGTTGCTGCGAAGCATGCCACTCGGGCGTCTTGTCGCCCTACACCCATGACTCTGAAGCGGATGACGCCGATCGCTGAGGATAAGGTCGCCTCCCCTCATTCTCACGCCGCTCACCCTGAGAACGACTGGAGGACTCCTTCCCCCAAAAAGGCAAAGTTCACCGGCCCAGTGATGTCTGAATATCAGTTAGTGACAGCTACCAAGTCGCACACAACGTCCGATTACCAAACGCTTTTGCAGAGTGCCAGCACCTTTGGCGCCACCAAGACCACCTTTGCTTCCACAAACGGTTTTGTGGGCGGTTGCTTCGGCTCGTTCCAATAGTACTCAGCCATCTCTGGTGCCAAGGTGTAATCAGACTACAACCCATGGCAACCGTGTGCTCGCCGAAAGGTGCACCGGAATCGCCCTCTTTTGAATAGGTAGCCCGTCGACCTCGTGCGTCGATGGGATCTGGGATATGCACTTGGCGGTAGCCTGCTAGACATTGGTATGTCTCGCAGGAATGGGATATGGAATGGGAATGCAAGCGGCGAAGCGGCCCGACTTTGGAACGCTGACTTTTGCCTTCTCTTCCTCGACTCGAGAATCTACCGGCTGGCGTCACAAGGATGGGGGCATGGAATAAGGCCCTCGTGCACTTTGACACTGCCGATGATTGCTTACTTGGATGAGAGGCAAACAGCAACGACCGCTATAACAACAACAAACACAATTTCGTTATGAGTTCTTACTTGGCTATGCTACTTATTACGGCATACGCATCCATGGACGATCTCAGCTTTCTGGGTTTATGTCTGTGTGTCTTTTCTTTTACTAGCATTTGGGTTTTCTGCGTTCTCTGAGAGATTTCGCGAGTCTGTTGCGTCTCTCTTCCTGGTTCTCTTTCGCTTCTGGTTTATGTTTAGCATGGTTTGGCACGGTTTTCTTATTTATTTACTTGCCGCATCAGCGTTGTTTGTTTCCTTTCATGGGAAAAATGTTCAAGACAACAAGCCTTGATTACGACTCGGGACGTTTGATATGGTTAGGGAAAAGAGATACCCCCTCTCTGATTTGGTTGCCTTGTGGTTTTGTTTTTAGACGGCAGTTAGGCAAAGGGTGTACATACATGGTATCTGGAGATGAGAGATGCAACAGCGCGGATTGTGGTGTCCCAGGGAATCACATCGAGGGATAGGATAAGCTGAGAAGCATAAAATGCCCGGCAAAAAATCCTCGGATTACCAGAGGCTGAACCGAAGCATTCCCATGTTTCGGCGCTCAGCTCACAGAAATACAACAATACAAAACCGACTTGGCGGCATCACAGCCTCGGTCACGCAAACTCACTGTCCCATCTATCTCATGAGTGAACTCTTGCTTTCCACACCGTCATCACAAATATCCAGCGCCCCACGGTTTCATTCAGCTACATCGAGCACACTCATAGCCACCAAAGCAGGCTACATAGATGTTTGACCCTACATCGCCAGCTTCGAAGGCCCACCTCCACCATCACTCCCATAATTGCCAGCCCTTCCACAAAAAAAAAAAAAAAAAAAAAAAAAAAAAAAAAAAGGAAGAGAGAGATTAAAGGTGTGCCGATTTTCTTTTTTTTAGTCACGCTTCCTCACTCGGGTAGCCCAAATCACGCGCCGCCGTGAGGTGCCTGCAAGCGAAAGGGGGGGGTGAGGGGGGAGGAGACGTATGGCGAACGAGCACCTTCACATGCACATCTCACAGAAAATCTTTACCTGCGGGTAAGAAGAAGGAAATGGTAGTTTACACCCAGAATGGCGTCTCAACATTGGTATCGAAGATGCGCAGCAGAAAATAGCGTGACAACAAATTGGACATAACCCACATCTCGCGGCTTCCCGGCCTACATAAACTAGCGCCCCGTGTACGTTTAATATTGTGAATCCAACGGCTTAAACTTGCAATGATAACATCCGTAAGGCTGCCAAATATTTCAACCTTTCCTACCGGCGCCGGCTTGAGGCATCTCTTGGGTATACCGAGCCATCACCTAGGAAGAATCGTGAAGCGATAGAATTGTGGTATCTTGAAGGGGAGGGAAGGCGATCAAAAATCATCAGTTGTTTGGCTGTAAAAGGTTGTAGGTTGAAGGTGCTCGAGCGTTATCCAGGACCGGTGACTCCCTCCTCGCGTATCGAAGTCATACCACCTTTGCTGCCGCCTTCTAGCAGCGGTTTGCTCGGTGGAGGCATGGTATTGTGGCCCTTGGATACACTTGTAGCAGGCGTCGCGTTGCCTGAGGATCCATCACTAGGCCGAGCAGGTGTGCTGCTACTGGCTTTTACCTCGGTCTGTAGCTGGGAAGAATGATTCGGGGAGTTCGACTTCTTGCTCAGCGCGTCCGCGTTCGTGTTTGCGCCTCCTCTAGAGGAATTGCGTGGAGACACGCGTCCAACCTATTCCTCATTAATATCGTGGCCCTCCGGTCGTGAGTCTGCCACTGATGGCTCGGCACTTCTCACCTGCTTCGCCCAGCGTAGACCACAGCTGTTGCACAAATCTCGTTGGCCGCTCGGGCCGCGTCGCCACTCAGGGGTATTGCGGGTGTGACAGTTGGCACAGTCGCGAACGACGTTGCCTACACCCTTCCTCCGCTTCCTCTTCTTCTTGTTGGAGAGCAGGCCGCCAAGCTCTTCTGCAAGGATTCTGTTGACCTTTTCCATTTGACGTAGCTCGAACTGCCAGCTGGAGCACTTTGTGGTCCTCAGCTCATCAAAGATATTATCGTCTGCGGCTAGAGCAGCATCTTGGTTGCCTGGAACGGTGTCGCCACCAGACGTAGATATTGGACCAGTCTTTTGCAAGTCTGTTGTCTGCATAGTTTGTGCTTGGGACGATGACTTGACGCTTCCTGGCGGTGTTGCTGCTGGTGCGATAGCCCTTGACGATGCTTTCAAAAGCTTGGTTTGAGCCAACAAAAATGTCGGCTTCTGCCCCAAGGATGCATCTCCGGGGTACAGGGTTGTATGTGCCTGGAGAACCTGGCCCCTGTTGTTGTGAACCTCGTGTTTGCAGGTAACGATCTTACCCCTTCTGGCCTTTTCGATAGCACGACCGAACTCGGCACGGCTCTCGCGACGCATGAGCTCTTGCATGCTGGTGCCCACCAAATCGCTTGGGTGCTTATCGAGTAGAGATCGAATGTTGGAGGACACAAACAAGAACATGCCGGATACCGAAATCTTTGTCCACAGCTCACTATCGCCAATGCCGCCATGAGCCTCTAAATCTCGCCGGCTGAGAGCGAACACCGGTCGTTTCCTTCCAACCAGGATAATACACTTCCTGCCTTTGCCGTGCTCAAAGAAGAGCGAGCCGTGGCTCTCAAACCATGTGTAGCCGCTCTGTTTTCTTCTGATTCGGAAGACGATATTGACGGTATTGCCAGCGGTTGCGTCCTTCAGCTCGCGGGTTACAGGAACTATGTCAGAAGGATGACAGATAGTCGACAACGCATTGCCGACCAACTCTGCCCCGTCATACTCCAGGACCTTCTTGCAAGAGGGCGACAAATACATGAAAAGCCCCTTCAAGGAAAGAACATGAACCACGTCATCCGTATTCTCCAGTAACATCTTGTCCCATGATTGCTTATGCCAGTCGGACACTACACCCTTGGGGTTGAACTGTTGGAGAAGAGTCGACACGTCGTCGATTCCCAGTGTTTGTCCGTTCTCTGGCTCGACGTGGTTCGCTGTGGGTGGCGTCCAAATGTATTGGCCAATGTCGCTGTGCTTGTAATTGACCTTCACACCGCCATTTTCTTGGCCTTGGGCAATAGCATCGGGGCACTCGACCAGATCGATCTGGAAGCCGACGAAGAATCGTACCTCGTTTGGGTCATCCCACGGGATCGGAATCATGGTAAGGAGGTTGAGGAAAGGCTTGCCACCCTTGCGGTAGTTGATCAAGCTCTGCTGGACCTCTCGACCCTCTGCGATTTTCTTCTTCAGGTTGTAGACGGAAGCATCGTCAACAAATTCTCTCTTAGAACCAGCCTCGACCTTGCCGTTGGGAGACTGGAGGAAGCGGCAATTCTGACCGACAATTTCATGACGGCTATAACCCGTCAAGTTCTGGAAGTTGTCGGATACGTATATGATAGGGCAGTCGTTGAGTGAGACATCGCATACAACAAAGGCGCAAGACATGTCGACGGCGCCAAGGTGAATCTCGGGATTCTTTCTCGTCGCAACATACCATAATGCTCGCAGCATATCGAAGCCACTCTTGGAGTAAACGTTCTTTTCCTTGCTTTCCGCGCGGGGTGTTTCGGGTCCCGCGGCTGGCGTAGTAGACGCGGTGGGAGGCGCAGCAGCGATTTGGCTTGTCGCCATGGATGAAGACCTGTGATTAGGTGACTGTGAAGAATTGTTGGTCGAATTCGACATTTCCCTAGATATAGAAGACGGCGTCTGCGTCGGCCCAGTTGCAGTTGATCCGAAGTTCACGGTCTGAGAATTTGGCCGAACATTGGTGTTGCCGTTGATGTCGTTGTCCGGCTGCGTTTGATATTGCTGGTTCATGTTCATAAGGTCGTCGTCGGTAGAAGCCATCTCTAGCGGCGTGTCGAGAGCGCTCTGAGGCGCCTTTACCGGAGTATCACCCCCCGCCATATCCATTGACATGTCATTCGAGTTAGTGTTGAGGGGGCTTGGAAAGTTGTTCGCCATCGAAGTCTGGCCGTACATGCCCATGCTGGTAGTCGTCGGCATTGAGGGAACCTGCATACCAAAGGAGTTGGGCGGCATCATCGAATTCATCATGTCAGGCGAGAAAGTGGTGAAGGCATTTGTTGGAGACATCTGCAGTGATTCGGTACCTGGGTATCCGTCCATCGCGCCGGGTATTGAGATGTTGCCGGGTACGTTGTTGCCCATGCCTACTGCGTTGCCCGACATGCCGCTGTCCAAAGCTGTGTCCATGCCGCTGCTCATCTGCCCGGCTATGTTGACGAACTCGCCGTTCATGGCCGGGTTCTGGAAAGGGTAGTTGACGAGTTGATTGTCACTGGCGCCGAACTCCATCATTGACATGCGTCGATCAGACCCTCCGTTTTGGCCGGACTGATTCTGGGATATGAAGGGTTGGTGTGAATGATGTATACTGCGACGGCGTTGAAGTTCGTGGTGGTTGGAATTGATGATATCGTCCAGGGAATCGCCTCCGCCCATCATGTTCATGTCGTGGCCGTGTCCATGGCCATGTCCGTGGCCCTGGCTCATCTGCTGAAATCCATGGCTTCCGGGTTGGCCCTGCTGCTGCATCGGATGTTGCTGTGAATGCTGCGACATCTGTCGCTG